GTCCTCTATGGGGCTACCATCGATTGACGCAACGGATTATGGCGACCAATCAAAAGCTAATGTTACCGCATCCAGATCAACAGTGGTCTGTGGCCTTCCTTCATGTCATAATACTGTACTGATTGGAATCCAGTATAGCAGTTACCAAAGCAAGTTCCATCGGAAATGTGCCAAGCTCACTGGGAACCAGTTGAAGCTACACAGTACAAAGCCAGATTCACTGTGATTCTTCTCAGTATGCATAGTCATCCTACTGATAAAGATTGCACATGAACTATTTCAGAACTACGAAAAACGAGTGGCAGTATGTAAACAAATGAAGAGCCCCAAAAGGGGTTCGTTTGTCGTAAGCATGACAGGGAGTTGGACCCAGTCATTCCCATCACGTCCTGCATTAAAACTGAGGAAGAATGCTAGGCAGCGCGCTAAAAATGCACCAGCTGTTGCATTAAACGCCAACACCACCAGTTGCTCTAATATGTCTGAAACAATCATTGCCTGCCCAATTGCACTGACACGGTCATAGCCTCTTCCAACTTCCAAGCGGTTCCGCAAAATCAGAACGGCTTCGACAACAATGGTGGATAGAACTAGGTTGCTGCCAAAGGTGCCCGAAAACGTAGACCGTCTGCCACTCCCACTTGACCCATAGTAAAGGAATAGGACAAAAGTTACCCAGGGAGCCTCCATCGACTGTACACAGAACAGCTGGTCCTTTGAATTTAACCAAAAGTGCACGTATTATACCAGCGATATTTCTCACCAACGTTCCAGAAACTACATTAAATTCATTAACAGTAAAACAATTCGATGGAGTGAAGCAGTGGAATTCCATATGTGACACTATAGGTATTGTAACTAAGCCCGTCATTTTGACTCCCGTTATCCATCACCCAAACTCACAGCACTCCGGTGAAAAAAGACCTTTTGTGTTGACGAAACAGAAGCTATCCTATTATCGACAGCTCATCACCGGAATGGGTCATGTACCATCCGCCTATTCCCGTATATTTCGTCGCGCGAGCGCAGACAGGCGAAGCAATACTTGGACGAAAACCGTAAGGAATCTCTAGCCAGAATCTTCCTTGTATCTAGTGTCCCTGAGGCTGAAAGTCATGATGAGCACGAAGCGACCACTCACGACCAGAAACAATGGCAGTAGATTCTCGAGACACTCTCCGTGTGAAACGTCATAGCGCAATCAAGCAAGAGGCTGCGCCGATCGCCAAACTACAAGAGACGTGACCCGAGGATTTTGAAAGTAGTCCTTAAATCTAGACAAACCTCAGCAATGATAATAGAGGGAGGGTATGCAGGCCGCAGCAGCATTCCTTCTGAGCTACGGCTCAAAGCAGCATTTGCTATGCAAACACACGAGAGCAGCCACTTAGTCAGACCAGTTACCTACAAGAACTGTGATAACTTCAACCAACTGGCCAATGAAACGCGCAAACACATCCCATACGTTGCATACGAAGAGAGAAGCAAAGAGGTAATGGTAAGTTCCATGAAGCGGACACCAATGAGTTCGCCGTCCCCCACCCAAAATCAAGTAGTTGCCGAACTTTCACCAGTCGACACAACATTTTATCCAAAACACCCATCCCACGATAAATTGCTAAAAGCAGTGAAACTTTCCTGCATGTACACCAATGCAAAAGGCCTCCTGAACTAGCTTACCAACCTGCTGCTACGTCAAGCGTCATACGCCGGGGATCTGATGTTTGTTACAAGTACCTGGTTGCACTCAGAAATTACCGATGCCGAAGACGCGTTTAATGGTACATGTTTTAATGGTATATGCCTTCTCCGAAACGATTGAATTAGCAAATGTGTGGTGTTACTCTTATACCACCGCAACAACATGCAGTGCGATCCGGTGGCCTATCAGGAAACGCTGGTAATAGGCTCACTGTGGTGCAGCCAGTGACTGAAACGCAACGACACTTGCTTGTCGGCTGTTGCTTATCGTTCCCCACCCCCCACCACAGAGATGGACTATCGCCTGACATTATCCTAGGGAAGAATCCCACCAGAACGATACTATCCGGTTCTCACCTCAGGCAACTTCAACATAAATGAGTTGGTAGTTTTCGGCACCCCCAATGAGCAGCTTAAGGCCGACCTGCAATGGTGTATTACAAGTAATCCGCTCTTCAACCATGTCAGTTCACCCACCCGATTCAGAGCCGGAAATAAATCATCCGTGCCTGATTTGGTGCTCACGAACAAATAGCTCATGGTTGAGAAAACAAGGCTAGAGAGCCATCTGGGACGGAACTACCAGTTAACCATAATTTACGACTTCATGTGTTAGGCGGAGTCTCCACAAGAACATACTAACTTGTTTCAAACAATCATCCACTACGACATACTGATATAACTTGTGGCAGATGCTAGCTGGGAGTTTCCGGAAGACTGTTCCCTTGACAGTGTTCTGGTGGATTTGACTGGCAAGTTCAGTGATCTGATTAAATCTGCATCGGGCAACAAGCCCCTTCGTACTGTAAGGGCGCGACCGTTCATTCGGAGTAGAACCCGAAAACGCATGACATTAAGAGACGCGGCGTGGCATGTGTATAGGGCGAACCCCAGCCTTGACAACTGGAGTAACTATGTTTCGCATCCTAAACGGTTTACCACACTTGTGCGCGAGAGAAATTAGTACCCCAGCAGAGTCTAGCAGAAAGGTTTTGCGTTAACAGAAAGCATCTGTACAGAAACCTGTACAACCTTCGGAATATGCAACGTGGTGTTCCCACACTAATATCAGCGGAAGGATGTGCTCAAACCACCCAGAATGCAGCCAACGTACTACGGCTACAAAATGCCCCAAATATCCGACGTGCCCTCAGCATTTGTAAAATAGCTGTCTTATTCAGCCAGAAACCAGTATTTACACAGGTAAAGTTAGACAACCATTTAAAGGAAACTGCTGTCGTTGCGCACCCATCGTCCCATGGAGTTGACAACATTGTCACGGAATCACTGTAGGTAGCACCTACGAGGATAGCTGAAACATTAATGAGATTTATTCAAAGATGCCTGGACGAACAGCAGGTAGCTAGCATATAGAAGTCAGGCATCATTACCCCGATGTTCAAGAGTGGTAGCCGTTCAGAGCTAGCTTGTGATTCTCCTCCCGATGCTTACAAGAATGATGAAATCGAGCATAGCTGAGCTGTAATGCAATACTTTGAAAAGTCTGAAATCATAACACTGGAGCAACACGGATTCCGTCAGCATCGATCATGTCCTACCAACCTACTGCTTACCCGTGGCAGTTGGACTGGGATAGCTGACAGTGGAACCCACATTAATGTACTATACCTAGACTATTCCAAAGCATTCGACCGCATAGATCACCGCATCCTTCTCCAAAAGCTGCAAGCATATGAAGTTAAAAAGCCTGTACTTAAATGGCCCGAAAACTTCCTCCTTCAGCTGCACATTCAGGTTTGAGTTTGAGGCTTATTTTCTGATCTAATAGGTATGGACTGCGGTGTTCCACAAGCGTCGGTGTTGCGGCCGCGGTTATTCTTGTTCATTATGAATGACCTTACGAGTGTCGTCAAGAAGAATTTACTGTTTTTGCCGATAACATCAAGATATGATGGACAATCGAGTCTCAGGAAGATCACAAAACGTTGCAACGAGAATTAGACTGTGCTTTTAAATGGGCAAAGTTAACACTAATTCCGTTTGGTATGGACAAGTGCAAAACCGTGCATATCCGCCACCAGCCCACGTACGCATATATGCTTGGAAGCGATATGTTGAACACAGCCTTACAAGGCGAGACCATGGGGTGGTAGTCCAAGACGACCTTGGCTGTTTGGCGAGTCCTTGATGGAGCCCAAAACCACGAACTATGTTTGTCAGTTACGGAGGGCGTTGGGGAGTTTCATTCCCTCTAGATTCCCCCAAATTGTTAATGCTTATGTGAGACACCATGTAGAGTTTGCGATCCAGGCTAGGCAACCTTGGTTTAAACACGACGTGGTTACACTGAAGACCGCACAGGGACGGGCAACATAATACGTGAAGGGGCTGTCCTATCTGCAATACCATGGGCGACTGAAAGACTATGGAGTGTACAGCGGAAGATATCGCCTTCTACGGAATAATCTCATCCTGGTGTTACATATATTGAAAAACTAATCATGCTTTCCGCCAATCTCTGAAGCTAAGCTGCCAAACAAAATTGAGGGTTCGTACATTAAAAAGTGACACCCACAACAGTGGACTTGAGTGTCGTTAGAATTACTTTTCCTTACGATTTTGTGAACCGTGGAAAGTTTTCCGATTTTGCCATTTCTGAGCCCACTGTACACATTTTTAAAAATGGCTGGACCATGCATTACACCAATTAAATTACTTGATCTGATTTCTACACATTAAGTGACGACAAAACGCAGACAAACATTGTGGCAACAAAGTCCACGAACTTGGGGTAGAGGGATATACCCACGGGACAAAGGGGATAATACGGTGCTTCCACAGGTGTTTTTCGCTTTTGCGTAACTTCATTGAATTAACATTATTCCCACAAACCATCCCATGGGACTTGTCAAGCCTTGACTTCTTTGTCCGTATTAAATTACTGTTCACTGTTCCAATTTAGCAAATAAATACTCCAGTTGCTGACTTAGCTTCTACATAAAAATCACCCATTACTAGCTGTTTGTTCATACAATATATTAAGTAATTAAGCTAGATCGTACCCTACTTTGGCTTTGTTTGATATACATCAAACTTTTTCATGCGTTGCAGTCAGATTCGAAATAAAATATATTCCGTTGGCTGTTGTCTCTGCAAGTAGACTGTGCAATCGGAAATACGAGATATGCAGTTGGTATAAATATACATTTCAGTTTCGCTTGGATTTTGCTAATTTTGTGTTAAAGTAGAGCACATGCGAGCTATTTGAAGGGTTTAGACCGACAAACGTACGTTTGCTATAAAACGCAACAATATCTTCTAAGTAGTATGGGACTTACGTCCTTCAACTGGTTTTTCCATGTACAATAGTGCAATATCTGCACCGTTATTTGCCTGTCCTTCGTGATAATCATAATGTAACACAATTTCCTCAACCAAATGATCCCTTTGACTTTGCTCTAGCACCGACACACGGTGGTCTGCCAAGTGCGCCAAGACAAATCCATCAACATCATGTGAATCTTTTTCATCGAATGTAATATTCTTCGCAAGATTGGAGAAACAATGCGCAGCAGTGAGAATCCATTGGGATGTGATTAGAGTTCCTCCACACATCTTCATCGTATTGTCTGAGGTCGATTTGATCGTCAAACGAACCTGTGCAAAGGTTAAATTAAACGACAGATTCATGAGAGTCTGAGTAATTGAAACTGTTGAGGGATCTTCTATAATGCCGTTATTGCTGGGTTAAAGGAACTGTGACATTCATTAATAGTAAACGGCAGTCCAGATAGACAATATAGTTCGAGATAACGTTTATTTGGACAATTCCTTTTGACTGGTTCAAATTTATGGGGAAGGATGTTCATTTGCACACGACCTATGCTATTTTGTTTAGATGCCACTTATTAAAAGCATCAGTGAAACACTAACTTACTAAATAAGTGATGTCCATACTGTACTTTGCACAAGGCACACCTGAGTCGGCGTGATCATTCGTATATTTGCGTATACCTAAGAATAGCACAGGTTCACAGTTACCCGTGGCATGACTTTCGGTTCAAAAAAGCTGCGGAGTACTATTATAGGACAGACGAAACTCCGGAGCAATTATTTAGTTAGACAAACGTTGGATATTACTCGCTCTAAACACTGCATTCTACCATAGATACGGGTGAGAGAAATTCGGCTCGAACTCGGAACTTATATGCCGTGACCCAAAGCCCCATTCCTAAGCCAATGAGATGCGACGTCTACGCATAGCAAAACCGTTAATGGCTACCTGAGAGTCGTTATGGAGCGACCTCTACGTCAGTGGATAGCAACAACCAATCTAGATTGATAGGGGATGCGATTCGTGGTAAATTTCGCAAAAATATCGGTCACTGGACCAGCATAATAGGATTAGGAATCTAGGTGATAGAAAATTAGAAGTTGTATACCAAAAAGCTTGTAATTAATTTCGTACCAATGTAAACCAACTCACCATCCACGGCCAAGAATTTGAAAAGCTGCTTTCTCCGCCCATAACTTTGAAATCCACGTTCATGTAGAGTGGTCGAATCCCGCAGTTGTGGAACGTCTCTGAATGGATGGAGATAAACTGATTAGGCACTCAAACCATGCGAAATTACAATCACTAGAAATAAACATCATCGATAGTTGGTAAGCATTTATGAGGTCTGTACACACTTGGATTGGTGCACATTACACAGCAAATGCATTCCAATTAATTTTCACAAAGTCTCGGTCCAACATGACTGGTCTACTAATTTTGTTCGTGATGAAGTGAAACGCACCCTATCCATTTAGTTGTTAATAAAAGCTGTTTTCTTAACATCGTCACAAAGCTGCACCGGCTAACGATGACAACTAACGATGAAGTTTCAAGCGAGTTGTAAATGCCACTTTTGCAGTACCATAAGTTTACTGCTAAGCTGGAACTAAATGATCCGAAAATGATTTGTACAAACTGAGTGCAGCGGCATATGAACGCACCGAACAGTCATGAGGTAACTTTGCAGGAGTTGATATATTAATGAGAACAGATGGTCCGCCAAATTGCTTCCAACAGCTGCTCAAAGGTGAAGAACATTCAACGTGATGACGACCAACTAACACATAATGCTAAACAAAAAAGAGTCAGAAACATGACGGCGCACTTGTTTTAATCCACATCGACACATGGACAGATTGTACATGGAAGTGCGGAGGAAACCTTTCGAAGCTATATCTCACATTCAAGCAGATAGTCAGAAAACGGTTCGACGGCTGGCCGTATTACTTTGCTTGAACAGCCGTCTATAAATACATAGGTATATAATAATACAGCAAATTACTATTAAATGACAAAGACTTCAACCACCCCATTGGAAACTACATTGTAAAAATCGAACAACTGACTGCTTTATGTTGTAGAAAATTATCAGACCCTGTTATTCGTCTGTCTAGCCCTGCCAGAAACTGCACTAATTATTTAAGTAAATATTTCTACGCTAAAAGATAAAATTGACTTCGTGTCAAGAAAACAAGGCCGGCAGAATGCAAAACGTAAGCCCCAACTCTTTCAGGTTGTCTGGTGTTCTAAAGTTAGTGTCATAATTACGATGTCTATTGAGAGCAGAATGCTTACCAGATACTAAACAGGCCTCCCGTTTTGTGCATTCACGTGTCTCCATAATGAATGCACTTGGGCACTTGTGTTTTCCGAAATCACTTAGATAGACATGCTTCCAGGAATTGTCGGCACACCGTCTATAACGATACTGAATGCAGCTACGTCGAACACACTCGGACCATTTTGACCATTTTCCATAGCGATCCACGTTGGATACCAAATGAAGCAAAGGAGAATCTTGATTTTCGTCCTCTACTTGTTGGTCGATATTAGACTACGATCAGGTGCAGAAAACCAAGAGAGGAAGTGAGAAGCACAGAGCGTGGTTAAAACCAGTAAAAAAAAAATTTGCAAAGTATGATGCGTACAAACACCTTATACCAATACACCTATTCACTATACGACGAATGGTACTGATTTGTATATCCGACCAAAGTGATTCTATGTAAATATGTCAGTGTTACGAATTCAATAAGGAAAACAGTCCGGCCAGATTGCCATTAGATGGCATCAATATGGAACACAAGTTCACTAAAATGACGGTGACAATGTAGTATTCCAAGAAGATTTCTGTGTCTAATGGTCTTCTGATAGAACTAATCCACTGTAAAACAATGTCAACTGTGGAAAACTCTCCATTTCTTTAAAAACAATACATGATCAAAACCCCACCCAAACTACAAAGGCTCAGGAACTGTAATTTCTGCAGACGTGTTATCAGTTCATTGTTTTATTTTTTCCCCGGTTGGTCACGACTGCGATAATCTGCTGATGTGCTGGTTTAGAGCTTTTAAGATATATAAGTATACCCATGTCCGGCGAATTGCCACGGACCCACTGGCGATCAAAAGAGTGCTCGTTAAAAAAACGAGTCGACATGTTGACGGCCTATTACATATAACAGCAACCAAATTAACATAAATCTTCATGATGCTAGCTTGTGTTTTATAAGTGCAGCCAGAAACTTGGTCAACAAAATAACGGCTTATTTGCCTTAATTCCACATCAGCTAATGGCCAGATGAGGCTTGGAATTGCGGACGAAACCTGTCGAGGGACTACTGCGTATGAAAGCAGATCCCCAGGAGACGGTTTCACAAATGATCGTATTACTTCACTTAAACTGATGGTTATGCTTATATGTCTTCATATACTCTAAGTTCCACCTTGATGTTACTTGTATATATGCAAACAACGCAAAGTTACAATATTGTGAAGTGCCATCAAATTTCTCGGCCATGTGATTAGTTGTACATTCTGATAAGACAAACCATTTGGTCTGCATCCCACACCGTCGAGTAATATACCATCTATCTATTTATTTAAGTAAGTAAATATTTAGATTACTTATTTATTGGCAAGAAGGATATACCTTCCGCGGTTTCCCATATCACTTTAGTTCAATGTCTTGGTTGAAATTCCTGCTACGCCTACATTAAAAACATTCTTTTAGAACGTAGTGAACTTAAAAAACGGTTCCGCATGTGACAGCATCACAGAACAGGTTACTCGTCAACCGTGGTTAATACTGATGAATAAGGCCAGTTCTGCTTATCTCGCAATTAGTTTAACAAACTAACGCAAAGGCATGACAAACCTTTTCAGCATCAGGAAAAGGCTACCAACTGCTTCCTACAGCGTACTTAAAACTGTAGATATTGCGATTGGAATCGATCTCTTTGGTGCTGGAAGACCCAGAAAACTTATCAACCCAATTCACCGCATCACTCGTCGCAGACATCAAAGATTCCGTACCAGAAAGTGGGTGATTGCTTTGCTAATTAGCCATATTTGATAACCTACAAGGCATTGTTTTCATGTCAAAATGTTTCACTGATGCATTGCCCGTGTTTTCGCATATTTTCACTAAAGATGTCGTGACATGTCGATAAATCGGCTGTCATGAAGAGCAAGGGATATGATGGTTAAAAATGGTCGACTCGTAGTGTTGTTCTAAGTGGAGTCAACTGCCGATTAACGGGGACCTATGCAAAGGGTCTCATATGTTTAGTCGGTTGTGACATATATGTTTAGTGATCATATATTTCAAATAGTCTACCTAGAGCTTGACACTGGGGCAATGGACCATTAACGCGTGTGATGCATGTAAATGTATTTGCTCGTTTGCATAGACTAAATTCAATTCCATGTATATTGGTGTGCACTCGAAAGATAATGCTTGTCACACTCTGCTCGATGTGTTCTTGTCAGTAGTATGAAAACTCCGAAATCCCATCAAGTGTACAGTGTGGAACATCTTTATTCTGTGCAACAGATCATGGCAGCCTACCAGGTTTAAAGAAACCAACTAAATTCTACCACTACCGGCCGAAAACAGACCACAATTAAACCTGAATGATCAACAGTTAGTGCTGGCAAAGGAACATAACTAGTTGTAATGATGGCAAAAGTTTTATTCCGGAATATGTTAGTAGGTGGCCGCTTTTCCGACTTGTGTCACAACAGCGCCGAAGCGATTCATATTTAAATACCAAGTAACGATGAGTGATGTCATTTGTAGCACATGTTGGGACTCATGTTCTGCGGGAGCCATCGTCACGCAAACTGCGTCCTCTTCAAGTTTAAATGAGCTCAAAGCACGCTAATTGACTGTAGTGTAGTTTTAATGTATCCGTGTTTTGCTTAGATTGCGACATGCTATTTCAATGTGGATCATGATCCGCTGCAATGTGAACCTTGGTCAATTCGATCAAGTGAGCTTGAAATGCGTCATGAAGTGCATTGTTTAACAGCGTGCAATACCCAATTTTCATCAGATGTATAGATATTTGTAACTATGCAGCTATTCTGTTGGTCAACAGACACGCCATTTCTTGTAGGTTATGGTCAAAGCTTATGCAGTTAGGACATAACAGCCTGGTGGAGTTCGTTAGACTTTATCACCTTAAGCTATTGAAAATCATGACGCATTTTCGCTTTACTAAGTATGGTGTACATCACATCGTCTTCTATCTGGGCGTACAATACAAAACACTGTAGTCCTTTGAGGACACAGTAAAGATAAAGTGCACTAGATTACTGTACAAACGACACAGACTCTGTAATTTGACTTACCACGAGAGATTCTGTCATACCAAAAGTTTTCATTGCCAGTTCGCTTCTGCCTTTCAGGCTAACCAACTTCAGCTTCTTATTTGAAAGTACTGTCTGATGACGGAATACGTTATGTTCACTACGTTGGAGATGAAGAGAACAGGCACAGAAAAGCTCACAGAGGCTAAATACAAACCACAACAGTCTGTGCATGATCGTAGTGAGACCAATCAACCTGTATATTATATACTCCCCAAATGCTGTAGTCTGTATCTGAGGCAAAATTTACAAGTCACATACCAGGTGTGTGCAACTTCAGAAGTACCACCGGAAGTCTCACCGTCGCTGTGGCCCAAACATTCCTGAGAACACAGGAATCTCACTATAACGTATGGATAATAAAGGTGAAGGGTTAACCTTTGATAGATTCACAGAATATGAATTAGATAGTTCTGCATTTGCAATAACTGGTGGATGCAATACTTTGTGTGTGTGCTTGGAATGACATTCCTGTGATTCTGGCTGCCAATTTCGTCAGCTTGATTGGCACGTGCACGCTGTTTTATTTGCACTTTACTTTGATTCCGGCTGTTGTCAATTAGAAGTGATTCCTTGTATCTAACTTATGAGCACTGTTTTGGTCTTACCTAAGCTTTCACTGTCTGAAGAATAGAACTGTTGAGAAGGTAACAAGCATCAGGAACTAAGTTATTGCAAGACCGGTCTGAATCTCAAACCTTCGGACTGGACCAAATATGTACGGAGCTTATTTATACTGCATACACACGGAATCGCCGAGAAGTCACATGCCAAACAAACCAGGACAACAGGAGCCTGTATTTTCAAAATATGACCCAGATGTTCTAGACTGTATCTGTGGCGCTGAATTTGGCCTAACTGATTGGCGATGAACACATTGTCATTTTGTTAATATATTCACCTTTGGAATGCAACCCATCCAAAACTCATCAACGGATCGTCAGGAAAACTTTTAGAGGACTGATACTGACGGAGAACTTGTACCCGTTTCTATATACCCACAAACAAGTCAGTATAAGCTCATCGGTTTCTATTAATCAGACTGAGAAAGGATCCATGGATCCACTAGCGTACACTGGCACCGTTCCACACAAAAGCATATCTTCTTCTGGGAAGGTTTGTTGCTGGCACCTCACAAGGGCAAACTGCACGGCAAGTCCTACCACATACGCAAAGTCATTTAAATAACGGGCGAAATAATGCAATATATACCTGATACCTAACGATATCTTCTCCCTAAGAGCATTTGCCGTTGTCTTAATATTTTGAAACATTGTATCAATTGACAGTTGTATGGTGGCACCTGTTTTACCAATTTTCAGTTAACAAAAACCGTTTCGACTGCACAGGACAACTTCTCGGATATTATGTGCAGTACTCCTGTTACGTGCAACTCTAGAAATTACTGTGGATAATGAATTAGTGGACTTTTATTCGCAGTCTGGGTCGCGTTAAACATGCACATTCAGAGATTCAAAGATTTCTGTCGCTAGAACTCAAAGTACTCATTTAAGTAGTTTACCTACCCTTCGGGGTGGTAGGTTCTTCCGTATTCATCAACATGTGGGGGACGCAAATGGTCAGCGGACCTGCAATGGCAAACAAAAGCACACCGGTGTCCGCTGGGAGGCGCACCACTGACGAGACGCAGAAGGTAGAAACGCCGACGTCTGGTGCTTTTCCAGACTAGCCTAATCTTGCTGTTTGGGAGTGACAATGATGAAACAACCGGATGATACCAAAATCCTCACTACTACTCATCAGTACTATAAAATCTGTCTGTATAGCTTCTAGGCCATATGAAATACAGGGGCGCTATGCGGAAAGTCCTAGTTCGTAAGGCTAGCCATTGTCCTCTGCACAGTTCGTAACAGGCTGAAGAAACTCAGAAGGTCAAAACGCCGGCGTCTGGTGCTTTTCCAGACTAGCCTAAGCCTGCTGATTGGGAGTAACAATTATGGATTGGCTGAAAGAAAACGCAAGTCGACTGAATTCAAACACTAACCACTTTGTAAGAACTAAAGTCGACCACCAACGTACCGAGAACCTTCTGACGAGCAATCTTCCGGAAGGGGCCGGTTAGTTGAGAGTAAGCAAGCGCAGGAGCACGCATCCGCAGTCAAGGTCACGATGGCACGAAGGAACCGCGGTTCCGGCGGGGTTAAAACAACATGTGGTACATGATAATGCACCATATCACATACGACTGGAACAACTGTCAACAGTAGATGGATACGAGGGGGTAACCATTCTGAGATTGGACCAATACTCCCCGTTCGCCAAGCAGATCGAGAATGCTTGACAGATGTTGATGGCCAGAGTAAAGAGTGAGATGAGAGTGCACGCCGGCGAACCCCTGAACTTCATGATGCAGATGGAATAGAGGTCGCAGTGCCTCGAATGCATTGCCAGAGCAGCAATCACAGATATCAGCGCTGTGGAATGCCGTAAGGCTATTTAACATATCCGTGTATATTTTACCAGTTATTTATAAAGAGCTAAAAAGTCACGATCATGTTGCTGGCCCATTTTTTCTCTAACGGGTAGTAAAGCACCTGGAAGTCGTACGAACATCGTCTAAGCAGCTTGGGATTATTTTCCTCAGAACGGCGTAGGTTGAGAGGAATTTGATAAAGCAGTGTAAGATCATTAATGGACTTAGTGATATTAGTCCCACCCATCAGTTTAAGTTGGCTATGTCAGACCATCTGCGCGGACATCGCCTGAAGCTCAAACATTATAGAGCTGGTTTGGACATCAGGGCAAGATTTTTTACGAACCTAGTAGTTAACTTCTGGATAAACTTCCTTCTAATCTAGTGGAGTCTGAGACTGTAGAAGCCTTCAAAAGGGGCTTAGATTATTGTTGGTCTATCCTGTTTCCAGAGATATTGTAGTTGTACTGGAATGTGTAGTGTATTTTGAGGCTGACACATGAAAGTGCAAAGATTGCTTTGTTCTTGCTTCATTCCTTTGCAGAAACAAGAAGAGACAATGTCGAAGTGCCGGGGGCCGCTTCACTTACTGGCACAAGAACTGGACGCTCGTTAGGCGAAAGCCTCTGTCCGTTTGATCTGACCTGACCTGACCTGACTTACAGGGAGCGCGTAGCGACACGTCGTTATGCAAACTGCAGACAAAACGTTACCCACGTACTTACTTTTATGCGATCGTACGTTGGTTGGAGCAATATCTGATGTTTGGTGCAAAACAGTGACACGGGACCGGCTTTCGGTGAGATATGTCAGAGTGATATGTTCAGCATAATGACTTGTTCGGGTTGGTATCCTCCGTGTCTTACGGGATAATGATCAGCCTGAGCAAGTGCGGATAAGGTTACTTTAGTCAAAAAACTGGGATATTTGGAAAGTTCTTTGAAGGAACAAGTGAGCTTTCTGGGCGAATGCATATCACAGAATGGGATGCTAGAGTAGCTGTTGGATTAATTGAGAAAAGGAAATTACTGAGTACGTCGTGTCAGCCTTTTTTGTGTGTAACAGGAACTGATAGATGCGCAGACGTCAGTTCGCAAACATGTCCATTGCTAAGCAAGTGGTCGTCAGTGAAACCTGCCGAATGAACGCGTATCTAATCAAAGCATCTCTGCGATGTTTATCCACTATATTAAAGTGTACTTGCGCTTTACCCCGTTAACCGATTTGAAGTTGGTCTGCCCTGTACGGAATCCACATCAACTGTTTCAGAAGTTGTTCCTTAGGCTTATAGCAACCTTTCTTACAGCAAATCCAATCTAATTTAAATGACCGAAATGTCAGAAAAGCTGTCCAGCATGACGTGGATACCGTTTTGATCTTCTGGATGATCCATCGCTTGACCTAATAGCGTGCGTAAACAAATCGGCTGTAGTTGGCGTCGCAACGAGACTGGACATTAACGTGGTGCGACGGTTTGCGTACCTCATTGACTCATTGAGCTGTACTGGGTGATGCCTCGGGCACTTTGGGAGCTACTCCGACCAGGTTGGTCGATAGTGATGGGTCAGACAAACTCAGTCTCCTGGTTCTCCAGGTTAAGGGTTTGAAATTGGATGGCGTCCATTTCTGTAAAACTAAATCATTACAACTTCCCTGTTGCCTTGCGGACGGGCTTTTGAGCCAAAGGCTTTGGATTAGGACCGTAATCTTCCTTCTGTCTAGGTCTGGGCGCCCTCGCAGTATCTCAGCCCACATACAACCATGACCCTTATTTCAAACATAAACTTCACCCTGCATCGGCCGTCGCGCAGATTATCAAGGGTCGCCTTATCTGCTGCATACAGCAAGGCGGATAAGCGAAAACATGTTACTGCTGGCGCCTCCCTTCTTTCTTTTCCACCTGTTTCTCTTACTCCCATCCCGACCCCAATTACTAACCTTCCTTCTATAATTCCCAGCTTAATTGACAGCAACCGAAGTGCCACTGGAGTAGAACCATCTGCAGCCATCATCCCACCACACCTATCGGACGCCTATCGGCAAAAGTCCCTTATAAGGCCAAGCTCTCCTGTTTTCATGGCGACATTCAACGTTCGCACTCTAAGACAAACAGGTCAACAGGCTGCACTCGCACGCACCTTGGACACCCTGGGTATTGATGTGTGTTGTGTGTCCGAAACTAGGACCAATGTCCCTAACGGGGTTATTGAATTAACTGCACCCGGCTTATCCTCTCGTTAACGGTTGCACGCATCCAGAGACCCCGATGCAGCACTCACTGGTCAAGCTGGTGTAGGTATCATTCTAAGCTCCAAGGCTGAGCCATCGTTAGTTGATTGGATTCCGGTGAACAGCCGTTTATGTGCAGCCCGTTTGACGACATCAGCTAAGGTCGATTCACGAAGTAGTGCAAAACGCTGTTTGTTCTTGATTTCCGCTTGTGCCCCTCAGACTGTGGTTCTAATGCTGTCAAGGACACATTCTATGACGAACTGAACCCGCTACTACGCAGTGCTACTAGTTCAGATATTATAGTACTTGCAGGGGATATGAACGCACAAGTAGGGCATCTGAGCTCTTCAGAAGCTCAGTTGGGTGGTAATTGTGGGCTTAACTCCGAACGGACTGACAACGGTGAGCGGATGCTGCAATTGTGTGCGGAACACCAGTTGTTTCTTAATAGCACCGTTTTTAGACACCGTGGGTGCCGAAGTGCCACTTGACGTCCTCCTGTAGCTGG